AGATTCTTTAAATATTCGTATGAATATTTAGTGAAATACATGATTAACAACGATTAAGTAAATTTAATCATCGCTTACATAACTTGTTAACTCAAAATACTTGCGAATATTGAATATATATGACGTACGATATTATAAAATGTCAACAATTCGGCATTTAATCAAAATTTCTTTTATTGTTTTTTTTTTCTCATAGTTGGATCGAGCTCATCGAGTTAACAATAGAAATGTTGTGTTTTGATATATTCAGATGATGTTTTTACAGTGAGACTTAGAATAGTTAGGGTGAAAAAAAATGAGAAAAACCTATCAAAATTGAAATATCCCAAAAGCATCAACTCTCTGTAGCCTTAATATTTATCTAAATATTTCTTTTGATTTGTTATATAGTTAGGAAAAACACTTATGCATGCTTTTTGAAAAGGTATTATTTGATTATTGAGAAAATTGAATTTTTTTCGATAGAATAGCAAAAAAAAGTCATAAATACCGATTTGTATTCTAAGATTATGACCATCAGAACTTCAGTTCCGAAAGAAACGTATATTATATTCGAAATCAGTGCAAAAAACTGCATCGAATAGGATACTCAATATTCAAAACTGCTCGTCGTCAAATTTTGATCTTTACACTCTGTCATTGTTATTTTCAAATACTTTGATCTGTGCTTTCCTAAGGTCAAAGTTTGATGGAAATTAGTATTGAGTATACTGATTCTAAATACGATATTCATTGCTTTCGACATTGAAGTTCTGATGGTCAAAGTCTTAGAATACAAATCGGTATTTATGACTTTTTTGCTATTATATTGAAAGAAAATATCGATTTTTATTAACAATCAAACAATATCTTTTCAAAAAACATGCATAAGTATTTTTCCTAACTACATAACAAATCAAAAGAAATATTTAAATAAATATTGAGGCTACAGAGACTTGATGCTTTTGGTGTATTTCAATTTCTATGGGTTTTTCTGGTTTTTTCCACCTCACTATCCTAAATCTCGTTATAAAAACATCGTCTGAATATATCAAAAAACAACATTATAGCTAACTCGATGAGCTCGATCTAACTATGAGAAAAGAACACGTCAAAAGAAATTTTGATTTAATGACGAATTGCTAGCATCTTATTTTTTTTAAGCAAAGTTTTTTTTTTTGTGACATCGACTTTCTATTATATAATAATAACTTTAAAAACAAAGGCAAAATAAACTTGTTTGATCTTATGAACAATGCAAAAGAGTGACAATATTTTTGATCGTCAAATTTTTTCGAACACTTATTTCACATTATTATTTGTCAATGAAGTATAGTTGCTGCTCCAGACTGATGATAATCTAATCCTGGCATTATTTGATGTTCTCACCCCCTTACTTTGCGTTGTTCTCCACTGTCAATCAGACTAACTAATTAAAAGTATCGTTGACCTGGAAAACAACTAAAGTGTAGTGTATAAAGCAAGTAATATACATGTATTACAATATTAACCTTGAGAACAACATTTTTGACATTTCTTCATATCAGTGACAGCACAGTATCCACACTCTTTGATGTACTCTGCCAGTTAGTGTGTAGAGTATCGTCGATCTGGAGAAGAATCTTAGTTTCATCATACACTAATGGTTTTGATTATACATCAATCTTTTTGATCCTTGACAACAAAGTAGTGAAAGCATCCAAGAAGAGATCACGACAAATCATTACTGGAAAAAAATTGATAATCAAAATAATTTTTATTACGAACAAAAAAAAAAACCAATCATTAAAATGTTATTTGATATGATAGAAAAATTTTACTATATCATGTTAACGATGTTTTATCCGTCATTTCTTAATGGTATACATAAATCGAATTTTCACTAAATAAACATATTTCACAAAGAAACTTCTTCAAGTAATAAATTACTTTTCGTGTTAAGTCTTATCTGAATAGATTATCCCTATTGAGATTAAAGAAAGTCATAGGTAATTCATTTTCATAAGTCTTTCTTTTTTTGCAAGTCAGTTTTTCAAGAAAATGTTATAGCTGCCTTTTCAGATCATCTTTAAACTTTGTATAAGTAAAATTCTCATTGAAAATAATTTTATTCGAGTAAGTAATATTTGTTCTTAAATTTATATCTCAAAATAGAAAATACAACGAAATATAATACTTTCAAAATTAACTAATCTCATTGAAAACTTTATTTGCATAAAGTTTGAATTCGAAAGTTGAGTTTGAACATGATTTGGAAGAAATCAAAAATATATTTTTTGCAAAATTCGCTAAAATGATTATAAATCATGAAGAAAGATTGATAAATACGAATTCTTTTAGGTTTTGTCTATACTCAATAATGTTTATCAGCGGAGACAAGACTCATTTCAAAAAACAATTTATTGTATATGGAGACTCTTTCTTTAAAGGCATTCAATCAAATATATTGATAACGTCTCAATTGTTGTTAATGTGATGAAGTAGTGCATAAAGATGTAATAGCTGACATAAAAATTAAACATATATATGTAATGTATATTATTTGATTTTGTAATTTAGAATCATTGTAGTTCTATGAATCACAGATAGGATAGATAATATCGATAAAATAAAGAGATATATCAGTCTTAAATTTGAAATACATGTTTATATTTTCTTGTAGTTTTAACCATTTGAAAATTTTGTTAATCGGAAGTTTAATTTTAAGTTGAAGTATATGATAATTAATGAAAAAAGTTTTTTTGCTAACATATTATCGACGAGAAATTTCTTTATTATTATTTTTTTCTTTAAAGAAAATATATCATTTTAATTTTCATGTTTTCTTTTATGACGATTCACTATTTTTAGACTTCATCATATTTGACTGGTGTTGCCATCTCTTCTGATTTGTTTCCATATTTTTTTTTAAGTCGCATTCTTTTTTTAAACATCGTTTAATAATATTTTTAGATTCTGCTTAGCCATCTGTTCGGAAATGCCAGGGAAATTATTATGAACGTTGTTAGGGTTGTTTTCTCATTCTTATTCTTGTTTTTTTTTTGAGAGTAACATATATTTTCTATTAATTACAAAAAATGTACTATTCTAATGTTATTTTTCTTTCGTACTTTGTCTTTACCTATCTGGTTATTTTTATCGTGCTAGTTCTATTTTTGTCGTCGATTTAAGTAATTATTCAACTTAATTTTGAAGAAGATTTAATGGCTAGATTTTAAGGTCTATGTTTAAACTATGCAATAATCTATTAAAATTTCGGCTATATTAGTCGAAGTCGCATTTCATGTTTGTTTTATTTCTGGTTCGACTTAAGATTCCAACATGTAATCAAATAGTTTGAAAAAACACGGCATATATGTAGTGCTGAGTAAGAAAAGATAGTTCGATTTGATCACAATGGCACAAGTTTCAATGATCTCTGTTTTTAAGAAAGATTCATATTTCGTTTGATAATTTTGTTGGTTTTAAAATTTTTTAATTTCTTTTTTACGCATTCGGAATCAAATTAATTGAATTCGATCGATTGCGTAATCACTATTAAGACTACTTTTAAATAAAGTATACATTTTTCGGTTTTCGCTTTAAAACTTTGCTGATCATGAAATGAAAACAATCGCAAGTTTGTTTTTGCTCATGTTCAAATAAATCATAATAACACAACTTAAAGTTAGAAATTGAGATTTAGTCATTAAAAGTATCTTCAATAATTGTTATAGTCATTTACTCGCTTGTTTAGATTTATTTTGATGGATCTCTGAAGAATCCCTCAGAAACCGATTTTGAACCAGATACATTCAAATCGCATGAAATTTTCAACCCCCTATACCATGACGTTTTCGGAAGATATTCAACAAACAAGGGTCAAAAATAGCTCATTTGGCAACTCAAATTTCTCTGTGAACCTTCATTCTACATACTTATCTATTTTGTTTGCAAGGATATGTCAGAACGTAGAACATTACAGTGTCTTTTTTTAAAAATTATCGCTATTTAAGCGGAGAAAAGTTCAATGCCTGGAAAAACTCAAAAAATGGCGCTCTAATTATAAAAGCACTCAGTTTAATTCAAAAAAGAGACTCTGCCATGCTCTGCATCTGGACATGATCTATCATACAAAAAAAAATTAAATATATGGAATGAACACTTACAGAGAATTCTGAGTTGCACGATCAAAAAAAAAATCATAAACAGAGGAAAAACGAAAAAGATTTCTCGCTCTTTCTACAAAAAAAAACGTATTTTTCAAGTAGAAGGTGAAATAAAACTAAACGATTGGAGTTTGGTACAAAACTATCTCATTATGATATCAAGAAAAAGTTCAAGAAAAATTGTAAATTAAAAAAAATGCTTACTACTTTTTGAATATTAAAAGTTGACAACATTGATATAAATGATCTATAATTTTCTCTGCACTCACCCACACTCATACTTGACAGTTCAAGAAAGACTATTTAGTTTATATTGAACATCATTTTTAAATTGATTTAGATAATGAATAAACTGATTAATGTAAGACTTTAACTGAAATATTTTTTTGTAATTATTTGTGTAAAAAAAGATTTATTACTTCCTCTAAAACGTTTAGCTTGTGTCGCTTATGACTATTGAAATTTATTAAGATTTTGAAATCATCGTAACTAAGAAAAAAAAAAGATGAACTGCTATTTTGTAGTTCAAGATGATAAAGATAGAAAATATTTGTTTCTTAAACTTTATTTTAGTTGAATATTCCTTCTAACCATTGAGACATTCTTTGAGAAGAGAGGAGGTCGACGTGATAATGTAATGTAGTGACTCTTTCATAACATATGCTATTTTCTTCTATATGCGATTGACTCATTCAACAACAAAGAAAGAAAAATGTTCTATTGCGCATTTTCTCCTCTTCTTCATTCTTGACCTAGTTTGCTTCCATCTCTGTTTCATGTTTTTTTTTTCTCTTATTCTCTCACGTCATTCTCCTTTCAGATTGTTAATAAAGCATTATTTCTAGCAACGATCTAACAAAACGAAAAAAAAAAATGTCATCTTCATCTACTCATTATATACAAGATTCAGATGGAAAATTAGCTACTGAATCGTCACCACCAGGTATGAATTCAATAACGAATACAGTTGGTATGCATCCAAGTACCAATCAAACATTACCATCAACTGATCCATCAAATATACGACGTAGTAGTTGTGAACAACATGGTTGTACTAGTGAACACAGTGGAAAACCACATGCATAAGAAAAAAATAATAAAATAAAACTATTATTTTGAAAATTTATAATCTAGCATAAGTTGAATATGCATTATTTATTTTCTATTATATATAAATCATTAAAATTTATCATTGATATATCTAACTTTTGATCTTGGTATTAACGACGAGAAGAGGTTTTATACCAAAATATTCACATTGTAGTGTAGCATATTGAAATATTAGATAGAGAATACATTTGTGAATCGAATAGTCTATTAACATCTATTTGTATAATATTCTTATTAAAAATAATAATTTTTTTTGTTTGTATTTTGTTTTTCTTTCAAATAGTTATTAAACATTTACATTCTTACTGCTCATTTTTTGTCATAATAGTTTGAAAAATACCAGATATCTATCTAAATATAAAGAAAAAATATTTCATCTATGTAATATTCACATAATATACGCTCGGTTTTTTGATAATTGATATATAGCAAGACAATATCAACTTCATCAGATTGTTTGACATATTAATCATGAATAACACATAGAGTTCAGAGAAAAACTCGGTTATATTTTTTACTACAATGTACAATAAGAATAAATCGAGTTTTTGGCTCTGCTGTTTGTTTTTTGAATGTATAAATGTATATAGTTTCAATTGTTGTTTGAATATTCAAAAATTCATTTTTGTTAATCTCTATATCTGAATAAATACTCCAACTATAATTTCAGTAACATTTGTTTATATGTACAAATATAAAGGAGAGACGAAAACTCGATTTACTCTTGTTGTAAATTGTAGTAATAAAAAATATGCCATCTTCTTTTCTAATGTATTTTTGCGTTCTCTAAACTTTAAGTGTTATGTATGATTGATATATTCAACGATGCAATGAAATCTATACTCCCTCGCTATATAGCAATTATCGCAAAAAAAACAAACAGCAGCAGCCCGAAGCAAAAAAAAACATTAAAAGAGGAAATTCAATTAAGACGTAAAATCTAATTAATATTTATAAAAAGTAATCCATATAAAACAATATGTACTTGCTTATATTGCATTAAAAGATCGATTGTACTGCATCATAGAGGGTTACACATAGTTTTAAGATACCAGTATTGAAAAAAAAGTAATAATACCGATTGTTTTCGAAAATCATTATGGAACGTTGTCGAGTTACAAAATTTGATTTTCGACGTTATTGCGATGTGTTTGAATCGTCTGAATCTAGATATATTGTTTTATATATCTAATTGTTTTATCGTTTCTTTGATCATTTTAAACAGTATTCTTAGTGAACCCAAGTTAGAATTGATACTTGTATTGTAGTTGATGTGTGTTTTTAATAACATCTCTACATCTTGTACAAAATATAAACTCAATAGTATCAATTTGATTGCCTTTTTCCGCTATACAAAATGATATGCACGAACTCTATACCTTGCTGATAAAATAGGAGAAAAAATTGCACAAAGTGTTCTAAATTACTACTAACAATGTGTATAAGTACTTGTTGTATTTGAATGCAATTTTCAATTGAATAAACCCTATATCATAAAAGTGTATGCAAGCATTTGGTAACTATCGATGGATCGATTAGGTATAGTCTTATTTAAAACGATATAAGAATCATAATAGAAATACTTGAATTTTTTCATTACTAGTCGTTCTAACTCTGTAACGGACATATTGAATTCAAGATACTCTGGTGCCACTATGCCACAGAATTTTTTAGATTCTCCACTACTTTCGGGTATTTTTTGGAGGTTTTCAACTCTTGACTTTAAAATTTTTCTAATTTTTCAATCGACTAACTAATTAAAAATAGTTTTCGTCGGACGCTCTAAAAACCTGACAAATACTCGAAGGAATACTCTGGAATGCACATGTACTGAGACCATTCTCAATATAATATTCGATCGAGATATTGTTACATGTTGTTTGCTATTAAAGTACTTTTGTGTTTGTTCTGTTGATTATTGTCCCAGTACCATGACTGCTTTGAAATCAGTACCTTCGGTAAGGAGGACAGACTGATGGCTTTATAATAGTTTTAACCTGATCTTTTTAATGACTTAAAGAATCACCATCATAAAGTCTAAATATTTTAATAGTTACAAAAATAAAAGAAATTAAAACTATTGAGGAAGAAAATACTGCTTAATAAATTATAGCAGTCGACAAATGACGAATTTTCTTGTAGGTTCAAACACAATAAACTCGAATAATATTCATTCATAGAATTAATCGAGCTAGTTCAATCAATATTCAATGAATTTGAATATGATGGCCATGATATTTATGACATGTTCAAAGACATTATTAAATACTTAGTAAAATTGCTTCTATTTTTATGTTTTAATCAATTTTCCAAAGTAATCGAATATTGATGTGATCATATTACATTATTGAAAAGAAGATTATAAATCATGTAAATGATATTCTCGTTTGCATATAGAATTAAAAAGAAAGTTTTTTTTTCTATTCTTTTTCTATTAGAATATTAACTTAGACAATATCTAACTACAATGACGTATGATTTGTAAATGCAGCTAGATCATAAAATAAAAATCTCTTGACAAACTTTATCTATTATAAAAACTAACATATTCTGTAACAATAATTAGTAATTTTTAATACCTTCATATCTCTTCGGATCTCAATTATCGTTGAATACTAACATTAAATAAGTCTTATTATCGTCAATAATATTCGAGAACTTTCAATTCTAAATCAAATAACTTTGCCAAGTGTTGCCTACTACAGAGTTTGATCTCCTCTGTCAAATATTATCGAAATATTTGTTGAGTATGAAAACTCTAATGTCTAGATTGAATATATTAATTGTCAAGATCTAAATATTTGATTTACAATGACATAGTCATTTGAGAAATACAGTAAATATTAGTCAGTTTTCTTTGTTTAATGCTATCGTCAACATGATTCAAGCACAAAATATTACGATATCAGAAGAAATTTGACCATTCACCTAAAATTTATATAATCATCAAATCAAAATCATTCCTTTTCAAAAACTAAAATGAAAGAAGAAAACAATAAGTATTCATGTTTTGAATGGATTCAATTATTTGTATCAATTTCTATTCCTGTCGCTATTGGTGTTTATACTGTATTACAAAATAACCGTGATTTTGCAATAGCAAATCATAATCGTAAACAAGACCTTGATATAGCTGATGATCAACAACAAGATTTAATTCTTCATGAATGTCAAAAGACATTAAGTAAATTAATTGAAAAATATGGTACAGAACTTAATGAAAGTTCATCCGCTGCACTTGTTGCTCGTTTTGCAGCACTTTCAGCATTAAATCGTCTTGATTCTGATCGACGAAATTTTCTCATTCGTTTATTATATGAAGCTAAATTAATCACTTATCAATCGGATGATTATCGATCACCAGTTTTACTCCAATCGGCTAATTTAACTGATTTAAATTTAATTGGTGAATTTGAACGAAGAGTATTATTTCATCTTTCATTAGAAGATACTATTATGACAAGAGCTGATTTTCATGAAATTAATATCTGTGGTGCAAGATTTAATGGTGCTATACTTATTAATGCTGATTTTTCTTCGACTCAGAATACTCCACCAATGGATGATGAGATTAGTATTCTTAAATATAGTTCTTCACAATTGTTTTTCAATAAAGCAAACTTAACATCTGCTTCATTTTTTTCTGCTACATATGATAATGTTGATTTTACTCATGTGATAATGAATAATGCTGATTTAAACAGATTTTTCTGTTCTAATTGTTTATTTGATTCTACATCTATGATTAAAGTAAATCTAAAAAATGCAGATATTAAATATTCTTCATTTATGTTTGCAAAGCTTGATTATGCTAATCTATATCGATCAAATTTTGGTTTAGATGTTGATTTTTATCGGACGGATGTGAATCATGTTAATGGTGCTTATACTAATTTTATACAATGTGCATTAAATAAAACTAAGTTAATGAATTCAACATTTGATCATGCTGTATTTATTAATAGTACCTTTTCAAACGCATATATGCATAAGATATCAATGAAATATAGTAAAATAATTAATGGAAATTTTACGGGTGCAGATTTAAGTGATAGTAATTGGCAATATGCTCATTGTCAACGATGTATATTTAATGAAGCAAATTTTACGAATGCTGATTTGTTTGGTGCAACATTTATTGAGTGTGATTTTCAAAGTTCTACGATTGTGAAAAAACAATTAACACAAACTGCTTCTTTAAAATGGTCAATACTCCCTATGTGAAATGCATTTAATTAGAAACAAATTTTTTCTATTTTCATATGTTCTATATTACAAATAACATTTGATGAAGAATAATTCTTAACTGTTCTTTCATTTATAAGTATTTACTGATGACCAAAATTTGTTGGTTCCAATTGAGATGTCGTACGTTTTCTCAAATATGTGATCCAATACAATTTGTAATATTATACAGGATCTAAATAAATTATATTTTGGACTATTTATATATTTTGCTAAGCTCTATGTCCATGGAAAATAGATGAAAATGATTTATCGATTCTTCTTTTTAACATACTATGGTATCAACTCATCATCCGTTATGTTCTGCAAGGAATTGAATGATCTATCAACACAAAAGTACTTTAAATTAGTATGAATCTAAAGAACTGACAAAGTGCTCGAAACTTCCTTTTTCATACTATATTATTTTCATTCTCAATTCTATTTAAGTAGTTATTCATGATTGTTTAAGCATATCTACAAGTAATTACCTGAGTCTCAATCCTGTGCATTCCTTGAGAAAATCTTGAAAGATCTTTCCAGATTCAGAGTCCCAAGGATTCGGTTTTGAATTCTAGTATTTGTTGTTCGCAAAATTTCTCATAGTGAAGTATGTTCATTTTCAGGATGTCTTCAAATTTCTGCTCAAATTTTTTTCTAAATTGAGAATGTAGTATCTTAGCAGGATTAACTCTCGATCCTACTCAGAATCTTCATCGGAAAGACAGAAAGAATTTTTTCAAAGTTTTATCAGATTTTGTCAAAATCTATTCGATAACCCATATGAGGATTCTGTCAGAAATTACAGCTATATCAAACGAGGATGTTCTCAAGAATAGAACAAGATGAGTCAGAATCCTAAATAGGTAAATTCTGCTAAGTTTTGACCAAGATCCTGTTTCAATTGCCATTCATTCTCGTCTTGTGGATATTTTCTAGACTTTTCTAGTACAAGCGTTCCTGATCCTTACAAGATAATATCAACCATAATAAGTATCTTGATGAGAACATACAAGAATTTAGTTAAAATCTTTGCAGATTTGTGTTTAGACTACACTCAGACTTTGATTATCAAGATCTCGTCAAGATTTTCAACTGATACCATTAATGATCTTGGCAAAAATGGATGAACTAATTCCATCAAGATTTTCGCTAACATCTATTGAGAGTCAGTTCAGAATTATCATGAGTTGAATATTATCTGAGTTTAGAAAATTAATTATCTGTCCGATTTTATACAGGATAAAACTTGAACAATTATTAAACTATGGTGTTAATATCAGATTAGTTATTGCACTAAGTTTCTCATAAACTCACAGTTTTTAGTAAGAAGCACTCTTTTGGTAAAACTATTCTCAGGTTTATGTAACCCTGAAAAACAAAAGTTAGGTAAATATTTTTAAAATTGAACTGAAGAACTTAATACAGCAGAAGTTTGTCAATTCGAAGTAATATTTTGAAATGAAATATTCCATTTTCCAAACGTTTGTTCCGATAATTTGTCTTTACATAAAATTTAAGTACAAGTTAACGTTTCAGTGAGAACTAAGATATCGAAGATTAAACTTATAGATAATAAAATAGCACAGTTCACCGCAGTAATCTAATCAGTTTGACAGCTGAAAATCTGGAGATCGATACACAGTATGCATTTTTCTCCTGTTCTCTTTAGAAAGTCTTACAATGTGCAATTGGCAACCTTCTAAATTAGAAATGTTTGAAATCTTATAAAGTTTTTGGAATCTCGAGTCTATACGCCATTTTCAAGACTTCACCGTTTCCACAGAAACAAAGAGCAAATCTGTTTCAGGTCATTATCGAATCTATCAAAGATTTCCCCTAGGGAATATGTCAACGGAACGCAAAATTCTAATATTTTTGCAAATCTTCAATCCAAACGATATTTTAGCTATCTGCTTCGTATCCATCCATAGTGCTAGCTACGAGTCCCAACTTCTCCCTCTACCATGAAGTTTATCGTTAATTCAACTTTTTGTCTGTAGCCTTCGACTGCATGTGCATAGGAAAAAAAAACGT